CAATGTCCAGGCTTTCAGGTTGTGTCAGTAATATGTTAACTCATAAGGCTATAACTGATCTCTTTTCTCTGCCATTCTCTATTACCATCCCCCCCCCCCTCCGGTACTGAGGATCGAACTTGGGACCTTGTGCTTGTGAGACAGGCATGGCACCACTGAGTTAAATCCCCAGCCCTCTATTATCATTTTAAGGACAGCTAGCACAGTAGTTTTCTAATCTTTCATGGCTTTGGCAGAAATCCAACCAAGCAAGATACAATTGTAACTCCATTCATTGTTGCAGTGTTACATTTTAAACATTGGCTCTTAGGCTTTAAACTGGAAACCTCTGCTTCAAAAAGACTCTCAGTCTGATGGCAGTGCAGACAGAAATCTACACTGGCAAAGGAAGGCAGATCCTGAGACCCTGCAGAGCCCTGGCACCTGGGGCTCTGGGAGGAGAGCTTGTGAGGCAGGCCAGCCTTAGTAGGCCTCTCCTGGGATGAGGAGAAGCCAGCAAGCATTTACTTACAGTGCAGGCTGTCAGGATAGGCGGGAATCTGGAAAAGCATCACCCATGCTTGTAATCCTAGTGCTCTGGGAGGCTGAGGCAGGAGGAAAGGGATCGGAAAGTTCAAGTACAGCATGGGCGATTTAGTAACTTAGCAAGACTCTGTCTCAAATGAATAAATAAAGGGCTGGAGGTGAAAGGCGCTGGTTTCATCCAACTCTCAGTACAAAAAAGGAAGGAAGCAAGCAGAGAAGGGAGGGAGGGAAAGACAGGCTGCTCAGGACAGGGAGGAGGCAGGGTCCCCTCTGGAGGCCTGGCCCCGTCCCGCTCCTGCAGTGCCCCAGGGTGGCTCCGCCCCGCTTGGGACCACGTGGAGAATCAAAACATTCTTCAGATTCCACGGGAAACAGCTCTGGGCGACTCTGCCTTTGGGTTCCCAGCAGATGTAGTTGTAACACCCTTTAGTGCAATCCTAGGTTACACCCCATTTCCTGAAGTTCTCACCTCTTGGTGAAGAAACAATCCAGTAGGTGGAAGAGAGATGGACCTGGATCCCAGCACTCTGGGAGGCTGAGGTGGGAAGTTGGCCAGTTGGAGTCTAGCCTGGGCAACTTAGTGACTTACTAAGGCCCTGTCTCAAAATTTTAAAAAATAAAGAAAGGAATGGGGATGTAGCTCAGTAGGAAATCCTGGGTTTAGTCCCCAGTGCTGAGGTGGAGGGGTGTGAGCATGTGTGTGTGCTGGGCTTGGAATTCTGTGTTCTACAGAACCTGGATGATTCCCATAGTCAGGTATTTTAAGAAAAAATCTTACATACAAATGTCAAATGCATCCTATTATGCAATCTATTTTGATCACCACTTTAATCAGAAGGTATTTACTATAGGAGGCCTCAAATTAAAAAAAATTTAAAGAAAGTTTTAACTAAGAAAAGGCAGTAGTTTACTATCCTCCCTTTTTAGGCTGCTCAAATTTGAGGTTTGGGGTGGCCGTGTGGCTCAGTGGTGCAGCCCTTGCCCACATGTTGAGGCCCTGGGTTCTACTGCCAGCACCAACAACAGGTGCAATTCAGCAGGTGTGTGTGCGCACGTGCACACACACACACACATACCATACACTCACCCCCCCCCCAAGCTGCAGTCTTTTCTGTGGTTTATAACCAGTCCTTGTTAGCTCCACAGATACATTTCTTCTTGAGTCCAAATCTATCCTGTAAAAATAAACTGGCTGGGCATGGTGGGGCGCACATGTAATCCCTGCCTCAGGAGGCTGAGGTGGGAGAACTTGTAAGACCGTTGGCCTTACCAAACACTCCGAGGAGCTGACTGCAGCGAAGAACACCCGGGAAGGAACACACCAGACAAGTTGGAAAGTAAAACAGACCTTTATTAGTCTGGCCAGACGGCACTCCCAAAGCAAAATAGCTTAGACAGGCAACTGGCTCAGAATCCGAGGCTGTTTTTATAGGGGGCTGAGGGGGAAGTTAACATATAGAATTAAAGAAAAGAGGACAAGGTTAGTGGTCGACTGTCACGTATTGATGGTCAGCAGACATTTGCAGCTTGTTCTATAGATTGTGGTGTCCAGAACATCAGTTCCGGGCAAACAAGGAGATGAGTAGTTTACTTTGGGACTTTAGGTCTGTTACAGATTTTTATCTAGTGTCCCAAAACTAACAAGCATCTTTATCCATTAACTCACATTTAATCACAATGGGGCTGGAGAAAAGGAACAAAGGTTATGCAGTCCCACAAACTGCCATGAGGTCAAGGCCAGCCTGAACTACAGAGCAAGCCTGTCTTGAAAGACCAAAAAAATAAAAATACTAAATTAACTGATTATTTTAAACAACTTCAATTCATATGGCTCCAAAGATATATTTCTTCCTGGGTTTAAATCTATGCAATAAAAATAAACTAATAATTTTAAACAACTTCAATTCATATAACCTCAAGTGCGGACAGATTTCCCCTTTCTCTTTCCAAGTCGATGCACACAAAGGTCCTGGAAGCATCCTCTTTCTCGTGCACCAGCTCCATGCTGGCTGCCTCCATGTCCTAGATGGATTCAAAAGGCTCCTCTCTCATGGTCATGTGGACTTTGGGGAAGACCCGGGAGTTGAATGGTGCCAGGGAGGAGGAGGGGGAGGGGGAGGGGGAGCAGGAGGAGCAGGAGGAGGAGGAGAAGGAGCAGGAGGAGGAGGAGCAGGAGGAGGAGCAGGAGGAGGAGGAGCAGGAGGAG